AAATATGGCTCTGTTGAGCTCCAATAGTATAAAGTATAAAGTCTAAAATCAGGCTAGACCAGGGCCCAATCTTACCAAATGCTGTGAATGCGCATTCATGGCATTTGGTTACATTCAGATTCCACATTCACTTATTCATTTGTTCAGGCAACATTCATAATCATTTATGCTATCAAGTCATTGGACAAGATTAGCTGGATGTAAATAAAAAGCCAATGAGAATTCCACTGAACTGGTTAGATTAGACTGTAGTTAATTCACATTCAGTTAAATGAATAATGAAGGACATTGATGTTTGGTCCAGCAAATGTCAGATATCAGGATTAGTGTAGGTAGTTGTAAGAATTCAGAACTCAGAAAAAGCCAATGAGAATTCCACTGAACTGGTTAGACTGTAGTTAATGCACATTCAGTTAAATGAATAATGAAGGACATTGATGTTTGGTCCAGCAAATGTCAGATATCAGGATTAGTGTAGGTAGTTTTAAAGTTCAGAACTCTTATTATTATCATTAGCTTTCTACTCTTTTAATTGGCATATTGCCTGCTGTTATCTCTATACTAAATACCTGCAGTGGCAGACATCAGGTCAACTAAACTGAGCAGTTGCAAGCTGCCAGTGCCAACTACTGATTGCAATGCAAGTCATTGCAGCAAGATAGGCAGGAACTTACTGCAATGTGCTTGCTTTAGCTAGTGATCCTTGCTATGACAAGGATGTGGTAGTGATTTAGACCAAAGGCATCACACATGCTGACAGGCACACTGCCTGTGTTGAGGCTGATTCATAGCCATTGTTGACTGTTTTCTGTTTGTGTGCTGGTAGTCAAAGCACCCAGAGGGGTGTGCACCATCGCTGGCTGACCCGCTGGCCCAGCTGAATCAGATCAACTCTGAGCTGGTCGGCGGCTGTGCTGCTCTGGTGCAGAAGAGCCTGCCCGGCCTGCAGGAGGACGCCACACTGCTGGAGGCACAGTGCCGTGCACTCATCAAAGCACCAACCAACAACGAAAAGGTGACATACCTATCCTAATATCTAGATAATGAGTGAGCAAATAATGGGCTTTGGTTACATCATTTTGGGACACTTTAAGTGGTTGTATCTGCCACTGAAAATGTGAAGATTATTTGATGCACATTAAGACTGCTGGTATGCATACTCTTTTCCTCTCAGTTCATTGATTGTAACAAATATAGGATCCAGCAATTCAACTGGGCAGAACTGGAGCCCGCCGATCTCCTGTTTCGTCCATTTCCCCTGCCGCCCCGGACACCCTACCCCGGGCTGGCCGCCGCTGACGCTGAGCTCGGCCCCACAGTTGCAGGACCGTGTAGCCGAGCTGCAGATCGAGCGTGAGGAGAGCTGGGGTCAGTTCCTCACTGAGCTGGAGCAGGCGCGCGCTCAGGTGGACGAGGAGTTTGAACGGAAGGAGGCCGAACTGCGCGACTACTACCGCCGGGCACAGCAGAAACTGACGTAGAACTGAGGTGAGCCGGTGAGGTAAGGTTACCGAGTCTGACAGAGACCGACAAATGTGGCACCACTGCTGGCATAAGCTGAGATGATGTGCAGTCTCAAGACTGCTGCTTCCCAGGTCACAGGTTGATTGGGAATCGGAAATGCCATCTGTGGATGCCTTATTTTTTTCGTTTATATTGGGTAATGTTTTTTATTCACGCAATGGTTGAGCTAAAATAGGTATCTGGCCGTAAGTGGAGAGAATATTGATTATTAGTAGTTCATCTCTTTTCAATAATAAAAAGCACCCAGCATCGATTCATTGACCTAGCCTCTATCGGAGCCTTCCGTGACCTACCTTCCCTCCAGGTACCGCCGTGACCCCGTTACTGCTCCGTTTCCCGGCAGCAGTATGGAGCTGCACCCGTCTGAATCTGTCCGTGAGTCGGTGCGGCTGCTGGTGGGGCCGCTGCCGCCGGACACTGTGCCGGCCGCGGTGCGCCGCTGGCTGGACCGGCCCGCCGGGGGCGGTCTCAGTCTGGAGGCGATGCGCTGGCTGCGCGAGCGGCTGACCGCAGAGGGCCAGCAGGAGCCGCTGTTTGACCTGCTGGCCGGCGGGACGATGGAGCTGCCCTCGCCGGTCACACAGGAACGGAACCCCGAACTGGAGGTGGGTGTTTGATGGCAGCAGATTTGGGGAATGCTTCTCTTTCGATTGAATGATGAAACGGTCATAACTCGTTGAATCTATTGGAAGTGGGAACCACGTAATTATCGTGTACCGGAAAGCATCATTTTGGGTACAGTTCGACCACCGTCGTTCGAGATGTATATGTGACGATCTGTCCAGAATGTCTGCGACATGTTTCGTTAGATTATATGATTTATCACCCGCATCAATATCTAGCTCTTCCTGACTGCCGAGTGCCGAGTGCCGAAAGGTCACTGTTACCCGCGATGTATGACACCATGGCAGCTCTCGATCTAAAAGGCTTCCATGCTCAGAAATGTTTAGTGTGTTACACGTTCCCATTTTCTTGTGCTCACAGGCACGGTGTCAGCGTTTGAGAGCAGAGCAAGAGGAGCGCTCCTACCGCAAAATGGTCCGGAACGTGGACTCGAACCGCTTCAAAGAACCCTCCCTCGAAATCGGCAAACAGAGTAAGTGTTCAATGATACTTTCTCACTCCTTCTTACTTCCTACACAGCGTTGTCTTTACCTTCGTAGAAATAGGATTGAACACTTGCATTAGCCATACTTAACTTACGAAGACTTTCTCTGATCAGCAGAGCACAGGTCATTTATGAACCGGAACCCAAACTCTGCCTCCAAATAGTTTTTCCCCCTTTCCTGACTTTATTATTCGCTGTCATTATCCGCCAACCGTCGCGCCCGAGCGTGCCCAAAGACCTTGAGACGCTTGAAGCCCATCTGTTGTTATGCTGATAGTCCGTTCAGTTGACCTGCCGCTGCCTGCGTTTATTATTTTTCCTTGAGCTGTTCCTTGAGGGCTTCTCGTCGCCTTTCCGATCACGCTCGCTTTGGTTGTTGGCGACCATGTCCTTTGATCCGAGATCCGCGGAACAGTGAGATAGAAAAGGTTTAAACTATATAGTCCGATGACGTCTTTGGTAAGTAAAATATAGTCAAAAGCAACCAATATCTCACTACTGGTTATCCGCTGTAGTTAAGATGAAATAACGGAGTCAATTATATGACTTGATGTGATATAATCGTTCCTTGTCTGCTACCATTATATCTGCACGTGTACAATATTGATAATATTGGGTTATAATCGTTTTGCCCGTCTTTAAGTAAGTGTCGTGCGTTATTTACGATCCTTGCAGTATGATTTACACCCACAATGAACGAGCGTCCCTGATGAATTAAACCGTCAGATGGAAGTAGTTCACTAAGTTAAGTATCGACGAAGAAAAGACTATTTTATGGTGGTCAAAAATAGACAAATGGACCTTTTGGATTTACGTGTGCCGTTACACCGTTGCATATATCTTTAGGCGATTGCTCGCGCTATGGATAATTAAGTGCAGTCATTTTCTCTTATATCTGCTTCGACCTTTTTGTCTATTTTTCTCTGCCTTCTTCTCTGCCTGTCTGCTCGTCTCCTCTGTGTTCTCCCCCTTCACCCCCCGTTCGCCCGCGGCCGGCCGCAGTGCGCGAGGTGAACGCCCAGCTGGTCGAGGTCGGGCAGGTGGTGTTCTCGGTCGGCGCCGCCTTCCTGTTCGGCTACATGGCCACGGCGGTGGCTGCCGGCGGCGCCAGCACCGCCACGCGCATCCTGGCCGGCCTGGCCGCCGCCCTGGTGGTGCTGGTCGCCGAGGGATACTTCCTGCTGCGCTACCTCAGCTACGCGGACGACCCGCCGCCGGCGCGTCCCGCGGCCAAGACGGCGGGACCCTCCGCGAGCCCCGGCGTCACTATCGGCGCCGGGTCTGGGGCCGGTGAGGTAGAGGTAGCGGCGGCGCACCCGCCACCGATCTACGTGAAGAAGCGACAGTGATGTGCCGCGTGGCTGCGACACTGTCGCACGACAGTGATACTGCGACAGAACGGAGCCAGTGCTATAGAGTGTAGTGTGCCGCGTGAAAGTGAAGTGTGTTGTCAGTTGCCACTCATTCAAATTCGGTCGAAAGGTTATGAAATGTTGCCAATGAGTTCGCTGTGTATCATTGTACAGTGACACTTTGGCGGCGACAACTCCAATGACTGCATTGGAGATTGGGGATGACTGCATTGGGACGTCACTGGAGTCAGCCATGTAACACTAGTTTGAATCTGTGGTCTGTTGCTTGGTATCACATGATGTTTGTGCCAGCGTGCTTAGTGCAGTTTGGTAGTGACGGTGTTGGTATGGCGTGATCAAAGATTTTTCCAGCCCACCATAGGCTAGATTTTAATTTTTAGCGAGTTATATGTAAGAGCTAAACGCGTCACATCGTCATATTCTAGGCAAAATGTGCGCGGCTCGTAACTGCTTTTCGCTATGGCCACCGGCATTCCCTTATTTGTAGCTGCTGTGAGTTTTGCGTTTGTGAACATTGTACTGAAACGCACTTATGTAGTGTGTGAAGAATGATAGTTGAAACTAGTGGAAAGACGTAATGGTATCTGACATGAATTGATATAAAACCGACAATGATATCGTGATATAAAAGAGGCAAATATAAGACTGGACTGTCCGGACTTCAACTTCTTTTATGCTGATGGCTAGTCAGCGTTATAACACGGCGACCTCTGTCGCCATGTTAACGTCAGCTCAGGTTTTTAAGTCTTACGATGATTTTATTGTGCATTTTCGGCGAATTATCTACGCTGATTTCAAAGATAAGTACGTTCATTTCTTTCTGCCCTTATTCCTATGCTGAATGTGACATCTAGTGAATAGTCCGCCCGCCTCATCAGCAGAGCATACGTGAATAATCGATGATTATATTTTTGTCTACATACAGCCCATTTATTTTGCCAGAATATCTGAGGTAATTGAGTTTTTCGGATTATTTTTAAACATGCCAAACTCCATTGACTTTTTACCTAACAATATATTCATTCACCAAGCATGTAAAGAGCAGCAAAACGTAACTTTCTTAATGCATCATCGAAACATGCCCATTGCACTTATTCTTGCACTTTTTGTGGCGAGAGTACCTACCCATGTACAGAAAAAGCCGGTGCCACGATCACTTAATATGGTGTCTGCACGAAGCATTAACCGTCCTAAGGTGACTATTTACGACCAGTGCATGTTGCTTCTGGCGTCTTCGTGCAAACGGGACCGTCTGAAATGATGTAAAGAAAACCACAGTAGGTACACAGTAGTTAGGCCGGGGGGATCCAGGGCGTCGCAAGTCCATCTACGACACGTCGCAAGTTACGACACATGTTCCGTCGCAAGTTGTGTCGTAGCGAAAAAGGAGGGATGTTGAGGAAAGAGGGGTTTGTCGGAGGATACGACAGAACGTAGCTGCGACAAGGTTTAAATACCCGCTTTACTCGAGAATTTAAAAGGCTACACGATCAGCTGATCCCGTAGTAAGCGTCAGTAAGGTCGAAAACTCTATCAAGCATAAAGGAACATTCGTCCTTCTGGTTTGCGAGCTTATGAGACAGCCAGTTCAAGCATGTTCTCTGATTCTGAAGCTTTGTCTCAACTGGGTGACTTGTGGTTGCTAACGCTCACGTGAGTTGCCATGAATTTTGGGATCGATCACAAGAGATTCGTGGCGCTATAGGGCATCTAGAAGCGATGCTTTAGAAGAAATGAGTTAAGAGAGTATGAGGTCACAGAGAGTTAGTAGAGTTGGAGATTGAGGTCACAATTGGAAGTTACAGAGGTCATCTGGGACACTTCAGGTCACGGAGGTCAACTTGGGGTCATCACAGAGCTCAATTGGAGACCACGGAAGTAATCTGAGACACGTCAGGTCACAGAAGGCAACTTGGGGGCACGTCAGGTTACAGAGGTCAACTCGGGGTCATCACAGAGCTCAATTGGGGGTCATCTGGGACACGCCAGGTCACAGAGGTCAGCTTGAGGTCATCAAAAAGCTCAATTGGAGGTCACGGAGGTCATCTGGGACACGTCAAGTCACAGAGGTCAACTTGGGGTCATCACAGAGCTCAATTGAAGGTCATGGCGGTTATCTGGGGCACATCAGGTCAGATAGGTCAGCTTGGAGTCATCAGAGGGGTCACTTAGAGGTTACAGAGGTCATATGGGACACGTCAGGTCACAGAGGTCAATTTGAGTTCATCACAGAGCTCAATTGGAGGTCACGGAGGTCATCTGGGACACGTCAGGTTACAGAGGTCAACTTGGGGTCATCACAGGGCTCAATTGGAGGTCATCTGGGACACGTCAGGTCACAGAGGTCAACTTGGGGTCACCACAGAGCTCTATTGGAGATCACGCAGGTCATCTGTGACACGTCAGGCTACAGAGGTCAACTTGGGGTCATCACAGAGCTCAATTGGAGGTCATCTGGGACACATCAGGTCACAGAGGTCAGCTTGGAGTCATCACAGAGCTCAATTGGAGGTCACGGAGGTCATCTGGGACACTTCAGGTAACAGAGGTCAACTTGGGGTCATCACAGAGCTCTATTGGAGGTCATGGGGGTCATCAAGGGACACGTCAGGTCACAGCGGTCAACTTGGGGTCATCACAGAGCTCTATTGGAGGTCACGGAGGTCATCTGGGACACATCAGGTTACAGAGGTCAACTTGGGGTCATCACAAAGCTCAATTGGAGGTCATCTGGAACACGTCAGGTCACAGAGGTCAACCTGGGGTCATCACAGAGATCAATTCGAGGTCATGGGGGTCATCTGGGACACATCGTTTTTAGAATTTGGAGAATCTTTTGGGGGATGCCCCTCGCAACGTCCAAGACCGCCTTTCTGGATTCGCCAGTAGTTGCTGGAATGGTGTTAGGCTACTTCATATCCATGAATACCCCAATAAATGTGAATATAACATATTATGCACCATGTTCAACACTCTCGCTGGCGCGGATTGAGGCCTCATAGACGAACCGTTGGTTCTTGCTTTATAACTCGCGTTAGCGGCAACGGATTGCAACGAAATTTTCAGGATCTCAAGTTTCAACAATTTTCCACGTACCATGCAAATTTCGTGACCAGTACCCCAATGACCTGTGACCTGTGACCTCTCCCTCAAGGCCATATCAACTTGCGACACAACTTACGACTGCTATTTCAAATTCGTAAGTTGTGTCGTAAATCAGGCACTTTGCGACAGACTTTACTTCTTAAGTAACGCTACTCATCAATTGATCCCTCCAAAAACGACTTACTACACAACTTGCGACACGTCGCAGCTGCGACGAGGCTTACGACGCTCTGGATCCCCCCAGCCTAAGTCCACTAAAATGTACGAGCATAAAATAATGGTAGGCAAACGACACTCGCCCGTTACGCTTTTGTTTTTAGTGCCCCCATTCTAATGGTTCGAATCGCAAAAATATTGCATCATGCCATCGAATGCTTAACATACTGTTACTAAACGTCCAAACATGAGCTGAAGAAAGTTACTGTCAAGTGAGCACTTACGTACCCCTTTTATGAATATATACGTACCGCTTTTCCAGCCGACCGTTTCGCCGGTCCGTTCGTTCTCCTTCGTCAGCCATTCCTCCAGCGGTCGGAAGTACTCGCGCAGCGGGGAGGCGTCCATCGCCCTCTGGCCCGTGATGGCCTCCAGCGCGTCCGGCCACGGTACAGAATGGCCCAGGCGCATCATGGCGCTGGAAATAGGCGCGTAAAGCAGGCTAAGCAAAGAGCAGGCGTGCACCCGGTGTATTGTCAACGATAAATGTGGGGTGATGAATCATGAAAGGATTGGCCAGAGCGACGGTAGAGCAGAGAAAGACATAGAATAGCAGAGGCGGACTAGTGGAAAAAGGTCGAGCGTGACTCCATATATAGGTACTCGAGACTTCACCAATGATCAAACAAAAGATCATCCACCCACTTTCGGGACAGTTGAGCTTTGTTGAGGGGCTGGAAAATAAAAAAGCCTAGAGTCGATGAATTTCTACGGAAAGTAATTCGTACCTCAGTAGTTTTCCGGCCTCCTTGCTTTGATAGATGTCGCATTGGTGTAGAGGTCGGCTGGAATCCTGTGGGTCGTACTCTCCAGCCGCCTGACACAGTGCCTTGTGGAACTGGAACTGCAGGATCCGAGCCACGAAGTACCTGCGGAAACGTGAGGGTAGGTACCTATCGGGTAGAAAAAAAAACAGTAGGTGAAAGTTTTCATTTATTATTACACATGACTGCTGGCAAAAAAAAAATGATGTATTAACCGCAAAAGAATGAGCTTACTATCACATACGAAGATGAGGATTTAACTAGGGCGTGAAACTAATTGCTCACCGCACCTACTGGCCAAGGCAGCGCACCCACCTGACGTAGGGCGTGTTGGCGGGCACGTGGTACTTGGCGCCGGGGTCGAAGTCGGCCTCTGAGCGCGGCTGGGGCGGCTTCACGCCCTGCAGCTCTTCCCGCAGCTTCCACCAGGCACAGTTCAGGTCCTCAGGCGACGTCACGTTGGAGAAGAGGTCCCAGCGCCACTTGTCGATCAGGTAGCCGAACGGCAGGAAGGCGATCTTGTCCAGCGCCGTCAGCATCAGGAAGTTCAGATCCACCTGGCGATGATTATAAGTCAGTCTTTTCCCCGTTCGTCTCGTCGTTGGAGCGACATTGACATTCCTCGGTCACCAGAGAAAGTTGCTTTGATAGCCGATACTTTAGGTTGTATCATGTATATTAGGAGCTGAGTGAGAAGCTCCTTGTAGGTATGTTTGTTAAAGGGACTATCCCACCTTCTAAAATGTTGTTAAAACCAGTTAAATTGTGCCCGACTTTATAGATTGGATGACCAGGAACACGGTTCTGGCATTTATTTTTCATTAAACATCTTAGGCTTCCCATATTTCAAACACAAACTTTCAAATAGGTATGTGACGTCACAGCCCAAAATTACCTCCTTCCCCAGGCCACATTACTGTCATAAAGCTGATTCTTTTTACTCTGTAGGCACCACAACAAAGTTCAGACCAAGTTTTAAGCGATTTTTCAACGAACAAACCCATTTAAATCAGAATGATTAAACGAGGTGACGTCACACTAACGGTCGCTCTATGTTGAAGATAGGGCCTTGCACAAGGCCCATTTTCAAATGAAGGGAACGAATTTCTCCAACACCAAGAGGCCGCGGGGGTTGCAACCTAGATAGATAGTGGTTTCTGAACCTCGCCGCAAACTTGGCTATCTCAACTCAAACCCCATGTTAAAGGTGGGATAGTCCCTTTAACTCTCCCACATCTCCCATTATAACTGGCCGTGGAGGAAGACTAAACGTGCCTTCCGAATCGATATAACTACCATTTTCTTCTGTTGATCGTAACCGAAGCGCAAAAATGTGCCACACACGTCATGCAGTCACGTACCTACGTCATACGTGCCCAAAATGCGGCTGAGTGGGCCGCCAGTAATAAGATGAATGGACTGACCTCAGGATCGTCTTTTTCTTCCTTCAGAAGACCAATCTTCTTCAGATGTTTCCTGGTCTGAACCGATAGAGCTAAGGTGTCGCCCAAAGCCTCATGGAATCCTGAAAAGCAGAAAGAAATGTTTGACCTACTTTGGTCGTTCAGGGGCAACGAAACTGACTTCTTTCTTTTACCTATATGGGAGAGCTTGTGCTCGGATAGACCTTAAGAAAATGTAACGTTATTTCTCTGTAGGAAGAGTACCTGGGCCGATAAATTGCGAGACCAACCCGCTCAGATGACCAAAAGCTATACTAAGAAATGGAGGAGCTTACTAAATCGCATAAAAAAAAGATCAAAGCGCCAGCTTGGAGTTGGAACGGAACTTATTTGGTCCGTTCCACTTTCATTAACCAGTCTGCTCCTCTGTTTCTGAATATTGCAGCGAAGGCCCATTAGGAAAGGAACGGATCGTGCCCATCTGTGAGCATTTGACAGTAACCTCAGGTCCGCCCGCAAACTCACCGCTGTTAGCCCCTCTCCTCAGCGCCATCGGGAGGTCTTTGTACTGGATGTAGTACTGGATGTGGCCCATTTCGTGGTGTACCGTTATCAGCTGGTCCATCGAGACCACCGTGCACTGCTTTATCCTGTCGGCACACAAACAAGAAAAACCGAGGGGGTCGGATCCGATCTCCCCAGGCGGTTGAACGTAAACAAAATAATGATACCTAATTGGCATTTTGCGATGATCGAGCGAGCGCAATGGTGTCCTCGGATCGAGTCCTGCGCATGAGCACGTGCAAAGTGCAACTGTATCTAAAATGTGCAATATGCAACCCACCATGAAGGTATGCAAATCCATGCAAGTTGTCCATTTATAACCATGCTCGACTACTTATCACGATCCGATTTGACTGTGCTCCGCGACTGACCTGAAGTCGCGCTGGTCACAGAAGTCCCAGGCGCTGGCGTGACAGACCAGCTCCCTCCCGTCCGCGGGCCGCTCCAGCACCGACAGGTTCCAGAAGGTGTCCGGCATCGGCTCCAGGCCGAGTGACGTGAAAAATTCCTCCGAGAGACGGAACATGCGCACCGGCGTGTACCCCTGGCCGGCAACAGGGCAACGCCAGAGGTCAAAGGTCGAATGTTCTGCAATCTCATAAAGCCTGGTATTTTGTAAAGTCGTTGGGTGCGCGTTTACACAACTCCATCTTTTTTATTTCAAGCTCTGTTTTAAACCCTCTTAAAATGAGCATACTGGGCATTATACTCACGGCTTATAAATGTGATAAAAAAATATGCGTCATGCTAAAGCATATTTACAAAATGGTCAAAAGAATTAGACAATAGTTTCGCGCATAGCGCATCATCAGGTCTCATTAAGAAAACTGATGATGCGCTATGCGTGAAACTGTTGTCTAATTCTTTCGGCCATTTTGTAAAATGTAAATGTACTTTAGCATGATACTTAGCTTAGGTTTTTAATCACATTTATATTTTCAATCATGAGCCTCAAGGCAGCGCTATCTTTCATTACTCACGGCTTCTTTCATCTGCGCTGAGACGTCGGCAGCCTTTTTCTCTGGATACGGTTTGCATATATCGATTATGTTACCCCACGCCTGGGCCCACATGTTCCCTGGAAACACAATTGTTGTGTTATATCAATCCAGTTCTAAGGGGAACACTCATCGGGACCATTGATAAATGCTCTGCTCACTGCTCATTTTATGTACCTCCATTCGCAGCCTTCCTGGCATGTGTTTATAAATTGTTTTATGTCATTGACTTTTTAATCGTTTGTTACGATAAAGAGGTCTCTAACATTTCACCCGGTAGTCCTCTTGGCGACATCCAGATGCAGATGATGATTGGGGCATTCACAAAAAGTTACAACAAAGTTATCCTGCCACGACCGCAGCTGGCTCTCCTCTTCTCCGGACCGGACACCGAGGCTATACCTCCCTTACCGAGAGGGTGGGCCGGTGTGGGTCCACTGCCCCTCCCCTGTCCCTTACCGAGCAGGTGGGCCGGTATGGGTCCGCTCCTGCTGACCACGCTGTCCCCGTAGCGGGCCCTGAGGCGGCCGCGCACGAAGGCGTGCAGCTGACGGTACAGCGGCGCCACCTCCTCCCAGAGGGCGGCCAGCCGCTCCCGGAAATCGGGAGTGTCGTAATCGTCCAGCCACATGTCGGTGCCGTCCGTGAAGTCTGCCCAATCACAGACACGGTTACTTCGCCAGCACCAATCACAGACGAGGCCACGGCACGAACACCAATCACAGACCAAAGGTCACGGCGCGAGCACCAATCACAGACAAGGTCATGGCGCGAACACCAATCACAGAGGCGGTCACGGCGCGAGCACCAATCACACATCAGGTCACAGCGCAAACACCAATCAAAGCCCCGCTTCATGTGGTGTGACGTCCAATGAGAAGTCGTTAAAATCCGAGCCAGGTTCGAAGCAAGATCCATGACTCGATGATGCTAAGACGCTGGTAACCTAAAGCGTCTTGTGGCTATTTGATGAAAACGAAAATGGCTGATTACTCACTGTTGGCCCAAGCAATGTCGTTTATGAGGCCGGCGAACTGTATGTAGTCTTTTCTCATCTTTTTGCCAGACTGTTCTCTCCACTGCAGCCAAACGTGCTTCAACTCCTCCGGATCTGTGCTGTTCATCATAATGTCCTCCAGCTCTTGAAACGTGAAAACCGCAGTGTTAGATTAGCTACCTGTCCTGAATGGAAGTTCTCAGGACTCAGGATATAATAAGCGACGCTTGGAGTGCATACACTGTACACTGTACAGTCTGTCTTAAAAGTATCGCGCCCAACAGTGCGGGGATCCATCAAGCCCGACCGTGGGGGGACTGATTTGAGTCACCGAAGCAATTGACGTCCTCGTCCATACCCCAGGTCAATTGGTTCGGTGCCTTTCAAATTATAGCAGGCCCTTCCTCGGTCAGGCTTGATGGATCCACCGTTACTTTGCGCGATACTTTTAAGACAGACTGTACAGTCTGTCTAGTGTCTACAATCTGTCTACAGACTGTACAGTGTACAGGTCTGTCTTAAAAGTACAGTGTACAGGTGCATCCAAGCATGGATGCTTGGATGCACTTAACAAGTGCTGGGTCCTAATGGAGACTTTATGTTAGTTGAAGTAGATACTAGCTCAATCGAATATTTACAAGCGCTCATTTATTTTTATTGATTTGTTGCAAATGCTTTAAGCAATCACACTCGTACGAGATTCGTTTTTGGTCTTATTAGATGGTACTTGCAATACATACATTATTGAAACGAGTCAACGTACCTGGTTCGAGTCGAAGGTCACACTTCTTCGGGTCATTGAAGTCGCATATTGTCGCAGAGCCATAGCGTTTCTTGAGCTTACTTCTGAGGTCGGTATACTAAAACAACGAAATGACGTTAGTGAAAAGAATGTATCGAATTGCGTTGTTGTCGACAACGCAAAACATGATCAGTTTTGATCCGTGAAAAGCTGTGGGCATGATGAATTATTCTTTCCGCTTGGAGGCGCAAAATGCCCGTATGGGCTGCTTCATACCACAATGAAAGACATGGCGTATTGTAATATTACCATTTTGAACTTTTCGTCCGGCAGCGCCGCCGGCCCGAGTGTGGAGAAGTGCTTGAACTGGCGTCTTGTGAGGGGGTCGTTAATCTTCATCCAGTCCCACTGGATGACCTCCGCCCATTTTTCCTTCTGGTAGCTGGCGTACTCGGCAGCGTACTCGTTCTGAAACAAACCGTACCCAGCGGCGTACTAATTTTGAAACAAACCGTACATGCTCAGCGGCGTACTCGTTCTGAAACAAACGGTAATTAGCAGCGTACCCGTTCTGAAACAAGCTCTACATTCCGAAAGTCTTATGGCCTACACTCCGCATTCACCTATAACTGCGGAGGGATCCATCTAGCCCGTGCCCCGCTGCAGAATCTGCCCCCTCCCGTTTTTCGCCAATAACTTCTAAACGCGTAAAAAAAGTTTATACGTGATTCTACTTTGCCTATCAAATGGCTATCTTGGTGTTTTAAAAATTTTGGATTTTAGCCCAAAATTTTCAAAAAATTGACTTGGAAAATCATTATGAAATTAATTTTTTGTTTATCGAAAAAAACGGAATGTATGTGAGAGAAGTGGTCTATGTGCACCTACATGCCAATTTTTAGAAAAATCCGCTCAAAAGTGTGGGAGTTATTCAAACTTTTATGACGCCACGACACACAAAATTTTCGAAAAATGATTTTTTTTTTTTTTTGAAGTTCTACAGACCTCGTAGACCTCGTACGGAAACAAAAATAGCACCATTCGATTAGCCGTGAAAAACTGCATCAGATAGACACCTTTTCACGTCTTAACAATCAACTTCAAAATTTGACCTCACTTGACCTGACCTTGACCTGGCCTCGACCTGAAATTCATCAAGATGTGGTCCATATCACTAATTGAGTGTGCCTGCATTGAATTCTATGAATAAAATGACCCATAAAACATGTGTCACACATGACCTTTTCTATATTTCGTTTTTGGTGACCTGACCTGACCTTGACCTTGGCCTTTGCAGGACATGGTATGCAACGAATCTTGTCTTGGTAGCCTAAGAACACGTTTTGGGCAATCAGTCTCAGTCCATTCTTCGGCAACTACGGTGCAAGGCCGATACTGTAGAAACTTGCATTGTGTACTCTTGACCTGACCTTGACCTGACATCTGACGTGCATAAGCAAAAAAAATCGGCTCTTTAGATCCGTCTCGGTGAGAGCTTTCGATTGCCGTTTTCCCCGTCTTTCTACGACCATCGGTTCGAAAGTTAGACAGGGGGCAGAATCTGCCCCCCCCCCTTCCCCCCCAGCAGGGCGCGTATGGCTGAATAGTCCAGCGGGCAGGGCGCGGGATAATTATTGACGAAAAAGCAAGGCTTTTTCGCTGTAAACGTGTCAACGAACTTTTGAAACACCCTGTAGTTTTGATTGCTTGCAACGTTATTATTATTACGATTGCGCAGTATGAATAACAACCTTTTGTTGATGCCCAAGAAGAGCTGAAACGAAATCCAGAATGAATTTTCGGTGCTGGACTTTCTTCAGTGGAAGAAAGTCCAGCTTACCACTGAAGAAAGTCCATCGCCAAAAATATCATCGGCATTTTGTTTTTCGACCCATTTTAGACGACAGAAGGAATTCATGAATGTCGCAATCACAGCTTTCTTAGGAGGTATCGATGAAGAGGGTGGTCACGGAAAAACAACGTCGAACAAAACAGGAAAATGCTATTATTTCTGCATGAGCTAAGTTTAACTGCGCTCGTATTGGAACGGGGACCAATCTTTTATTGCGCTTTAGGTGACTGAGAATTGCCATTTTACCTACAAACATCCAGGATGGCATGAAGGCGGCGTAAAACGTGGGATAATGTACCTAATCTTCTAAATAAAGGCCAACAGAATATGAATTAATATAGGAATCCTTTTTCACATCAGAATGTCAGACTAACGTTGTTTTTCTGTGTCGTAGGGTTCAAACTTAACAGCTTACCATGAAATACCATTTTAGATCTCATAAATTGTAAACCCCTGCAGTACTTATTCAGGTCTTATATAATCAGGTCGACGAGTGACGACATCGACCCCCCCCCCCACTCCCCCCACTGACGTCAACTCTGGTTGCAGTGACGAGCTCGGTTAGTTAAGCCGGTTTATCTGCTGCATGCAGAGAGCGGTATCTTTGTTTTCCACCGGTCAGGGTCTGTTTTGTCGTTATACGTATCTCGCTTGACCCGATGAGGCTGAAGGCGCTAGTCGCAGCGCCCGGCTTTCAGGGCAGGCCAATTACTTGTGTGGCTCAAAATAAGATCCACTCCCTGTCGATCTGTGCAGTTTAAAACAAACTTTTTGTTATTGAAGCTGATTTGTTTCCATGCGGGAAAAACTGCAAAAATTCGTCAATTTCAGGCTCTACGGGAGGGGCGAGGGCAAAGCAAAGTTAAGAAAGGCCCCAAATACTTCCCCCCCCCGAATTCGCCAGTGCTCAGGTTGCACTTCTGTATTCCAAAAGAAATCATTGCTCGAGTGTTTTGTCTAAACTCATGTCGATGTGAATTTCAACGGTGCACGTCTGGAAACTCTCAACTGCATGTTTTGGTGATAATGAATGTCTCCAAAGTAATACTTTACCGACGAATCGTTTCAATTATACTGTGTGTAAGCCAACCATATTATCCGTAGTTAGCCCACTTAGAGAGAAAGGTATACCTAATGTTTTCCTAACCTTGACACATAATATGTACATACCTATCGGATGGAGGAATGCACAACAATTGCACAACAGATTAGTGCATTACGTAAGTACTTTGGGATGACAAATCTGCGGACGCGGCTTATCCCCCACAGCTGTCATGACACGGGACACCTGCAGAGGGTGCAGATGGGTGCGGCGTTTTCGTGTCAGAGGCTCCCTGAATGAGTTAAAAGCGCAAATTTACCATCCACTAAAACATCTGAAGAAAGCGGATTTCCACTTAGTAACCATGTCTGTGAATGTTGTAGTGGCACTCAGTAGCGTTCAATTACAAAATAATATGAATATCATGGATATTGTTATGACTTATGCATCGTATCGCATTTAGAATATGTGTGCTACCGAAGACGTTTTGGCCTAGGTCTGTTTTATTATCCTTGGTGGGAGCATAGGCAACACTTTTTCTCCCCGGAAGATTTAGACACGCTTAATTACATACATTTCCGTAAATGTTGTTGAGTAGGTGCTTGCATGTTTATTTAATAGCTGAGGTTGATACCAATACAGGGTGTAGCGGTCACAACTATGCATACAACGCACCAGCCCTTCAATCGGCAACCATGCCTATGCGGTTATCGGAGCTATAACAAATGTGACCCGGCCAAACTTACGGATGTTTACATGCATACTTGACTTTATACCTTTAAGACGTAGAACTGGCTTTATACATTTAAGACGTAAAACTGACAGTTGTGTATAGGCTAAGGGTAGAGTGGGGCAAAGCGCCCAGGACGGGTAAAACGTCCACCCCTCTTATTTGTCAAAAGCTCGACTTTGTAATACGAGAAGTACAGGGTGACACAAAAAAGCGGTCATCACCAAAATTCGAATAACTTCGGAAGTTTTATTCAGATCATCACCAAACTTCGGTCACTTTAGGTCACACCTATGTAGCAGACATCCACCAAGTTTCAAGTCTTCTTGACGAATAGTTTTAGTACAGTGTGTGTTTTACGGACGCTCCACAATGTGCTCCAGGTGAGCGCCCCGGCGCTGCAGGGCGTAGGCACACCTGCATCCGGCGGGCAAAGTTGCCGATAACCCGATAAGAATAACGTTTCAGGGGTAGCACACCCCCTGAGCACTGTCTCCAGAGGCCATTGCACTCTGTAAAGTGCACAGCCATCGGGTTATCGACAACTTTGACCGCCGGATGCAAGTGTGCCTACGCCCTGCAGCGCCGTGGCGCTCACCCGGAGCACATTGTGGAGCGTCAGTAAAACACACACTGTACTAAAAGTATTCGTAGTGAAGACTTCAAACTTAGTGGATGTATGCTACATAGGTGTGACCTTAAGTGACCGAAGTTTGGTGATGATCTGAATAAAACTTCCGAAGTTATTCGAAATTTGGTGATGACCGTTTTTTTGTGTCACCCTGTAGTAGCCTTTGCTCATATTAATGTTCAAATAATGCACAAAATTGGATATATTAAAATAATACTGATATTTCGCCTTGCGGCATCATCAGAGTACACACATACGTATGTTATAGGTTCTTCCAATGTTCTTATATAGGACAAGATTTGACTATCGGCTGGCGTTTGTTCCCGTGGTAAAGTCGCACGTGTCTCTTTCTTTCTTGCATTTTGTTAAACCTAAAGTTGTAGGTATGTGTGTACTCTGATGATGCCGCAAGGCGAAATATCAGTATTATTTTAATATATCCAATTTTGTGCATTATTTGAACATTAATATGAGCAAAGGCTACTACTTCTCGTATTACAATACATAGTATATGTATATAACGATGCTCATCACAGCCATCCATTTCAAAAGCTCGACTTTTCAAAGAATTATTGATAGTCATTCTAAAGAACACGCAGGAATTTGTTTCAGCTCCGTTTTTGGGTTCCACAAGTGGGATGTTCTGGACGTACGATAAAGATTAGTATATTTCTGATATTTTTAGGAATTACATGCTTTCTTACTGCAAAAATTTTGTCTGATAGAGATTGAAGAAGGCAATAAAATTTCGTTATGTCAAACTTGTAGATTTAAGCCATGCTTTGAATTGAACACTTATTGGTTTGCAACACAATTGTGACATGCTTGATTTTCGTTAACTTTGTTTTGAATGTGCTGTTTGGGTAATACGTCCACCTTGATGTGGGGTAAAGCGCCCATCATAGACCAATGGGAGCTTATACAGCACGAGTAATTGCGAGAATTTCGAGCTAAAAGCGAGTGTCGGAATAGGTACGTTTCTAATGCTCAGGATTTTTGTTAAATATGCAATTTTCTGTTTAGAATGGTCGGAAACGATTTATTCGCAAGTACGGATCTTTTCTCCCCAAGGCAGTGACAAGCGTTGACTGAATAAGGAGTGCCGAGTGGGATGGCGACAGCAGTGTTTAAGATGTTTTTAATGGTGTGATCTGTCGAGATGAAGTCTAACGAAATGAGGAATGGATGAATGCTTCATTATTTTGCCAGAATATCAAAAGTGTGCCCCACGGGTGGGGCAAAACGCCCGATTTGTAGTCCTCTCAAATCGGAGGCATATCTAAAAAACTATGCATGCGACATGTTTCTGCAGTGTTATTCGAAAAAAGCCTAGATAATGAGCTACCGGATCGGCTACCTGGTTGTCCTTCAAATTTGTAAGATAAGGATATTTTGAGGTTGGAAAGTTAGGGTGGGCGCTTTGCCGCACCCTACCCTACTGATATTTCTGTTGAGGTTTGCCGGGACTCGCCCGCCTAGGGTCACCAATCACCATTCACGTGCATTTAGATGTCGGCGACAGCTGGTAGGTATTCCTGTCACTGAAGTAAGGGTTCTTTGCATAATTTTGCGTCTTATTGGCGAATGACGACGATAAGATTCGTTTTCCAAGGGATGCCTTTTTTACAGACATCACCCGTGAAGCGGATATTTATTTATGTTACCAAACGTTATTTTTGGAAACGTTTCCGAAATTCGGTGTCCTCGGGTCTGTAGGGTTCAAACTGGTAACACCGGCCATCCTATAACCAATGTAAAGTTGCCGTCGTTACCGTAGGTGTCCTCAGAGATCGGAGGTCGGAATGAATCACCTGCAGGCCGCAGCGCCTAATCGCCTGCAGCATAATTGCTATCACAAGTTTACTATGTATTTCAGTCACGCCTAATGTGGTCTGAAACAATAATGATGATCGTGACACATTGATTGGATTCAAATGTTGACCGTGACCGTTACTTACCATAATCTTCTGGTTGTGGTCTGTCAGGTTGGCATTGAAATTCCACCTCTTCTTCACCATCTGGTTACAGTGAAGCTGATAGTCCTGGTTGAGTTTAGCAATGAAGTCGGCTGCCTGACGATCCAGCTGTGTGGCATCAGCTTCGCTGGTCATGTCAGGTCTATCGCTGGTCAGGTCAGCCTCACCGTTGACTAGATCAGCTCCATCACCACTGGCTAGGTCAGCTTCATCAATAGTCGGTACGGCTCCATCGCCGGTCAGGTCGGCCCCATGCCCATCACCACTGCCAAAGTCAGCTCCATCGCCGGTCAGGTCAGCTCCTTCGCCGGTCAGGCCGCCCCAGACCCGTCCGGCCAGCAGCGCGACCAATACCACCCAGATCTGCCCTGCTGTCGCCATCACGGCGGCTGCTGAGTGAGCTGTACCAGCCGACCTCGCGCAAAATAAACTATCGTCAGCCGCCGCACCAGTGCCACCTGCTGGCGGTAACCGCAAATTTGATCAAAATCCATATCGCTGTTATATGTGAGCCCGAGGCAGAGTGACGGCTTATACCTAAGAGGGCCGACCAGAGGGCCGTGACGCTGCACTGTACCTAGAAGCTTACGGCATGAATAAAAGCTCCAGCGGCAGATAATAGACAATAAAAGGAAAGCTAGCCACGAACGAACCCGATGGCCTTCGCTACAGCCGGTCGTTGCTCTCCAAGTTTATCGACGGGAGAGCTGTTGTGCTTTGTTTGCGGTCTCTTCCCATGCATCGCCAATCGCCATCACTGATAACCAACTGATGACTGAACACTTTGTCTGCAGCATCTGTCAGCTGATCGTAATGAATGCAAACGAATAGGTATATTGACTTCTGATGCGGGCATTAATACTGCGTCGGTTACTGGAGTGGAATCCGTTATCCGATCCTATGGTAGGGGTCGCGAATCCCATCTTTTATGTCCGCCAAGGTATGCCTAGGATGTGGCGTTGATAGGTCAACACCTCGAAAAAAAACTTGTCGAAATACGTTAGGTTGGCGCTGCCATTGCTGACATCACTTGATCATTGGGCTATTGGCCCACAGCCGGCATAAATAATAGGTAGGTATGTACTTACCGAACGTAGGTTTAGCGAAATGTAGTGGATGACGGACCACGCCCACGGCACGTGACAGGCCCACCGCCCATGTTCCGTGCGGCACTGTTTCGCCAGCTTCCAACTGTAGGCTAGGCTGCTTAAGACCATCCACGGGCGTCACTTTCCGAAGTTTATAGGGCTGTAATGGTTAATTTGAGGATGCTAAAGCCATTCTTGCCATGCACCGCTATAGGGTTAATGTTAAAATTCTGACCTTGGTAGAGCTCGGGCCCTCCCAACTCCCAAGCCTATGCAAAACGACACCCATGAGACCTACGGCAGATCCAAGGGCGCAACGTCCGTATAAATGGACGGTCAGGGCAGCTGGTAGGTACTCCTCCGTCCCGTCGTTTCCATCCTCAGCCTACTGAAATCCTTCCCCTCCACGGCCTCTCCCGGCTCTCAGGCATAATATGGTATCGAGGGCCATGCATATGCATAATATGGCCATGCATAATATGGTATCGAGGCATAATATGCCATGCACAGGGGCACCGCCAGCCTCGCACGGGCACCTTGGGTCTGTAAAGGGCTCCACGGGCCTGTCGGGAGCACTTTAGGCTTGTCAAGGGCACCACAATCCTGCCAGGACCCAGGGGCACCAGCGGCCTAGCAGGGGCACCACAGGCCCGCCATAGGCACCACAGGCCTGTCAGGGGCACCACAGGCCTAACAATGGCACCGCAGGCCTGTCAGGGACTCCACAAGCCTGTCAGGGGCACCTCAGGCTTGTCAGGACCCAGGGACACCACAGTCCTTCCAGGGACACCACAGGCCTGTCAGGCCTGTGGAGCACCAGAGGCCTGACAGGGGTACCACAGGCCTGCCAGCGGCACCAACGGCCTCGCCAATGAGACGTTGCAAAGCATTGCAATGCAATGCCTCTTAATAGTTTGGCTGAGACCGCTATACAGTATACACAATAAGGTATCTAGCTAAATTGGTTTTCGTGATAACTCCTTATTTGTGACTATACTAATGCCGGTTGGGTCATTTATGACCCATGCTTATAACTTGAGAACCGATGGAACAATTTTTTTAAGCTTGCACAGTTTTCTTACTGGGACCCGTGTGGCTAACATTTGTTAAAGGGACCCTCCCACCTTCAAAAAAGTTAATGAATTGGCACGAAAGTGATGTCCCTCGGTTCAGAAAGAGCGAAAACGAATATCTACCAAATTTCATCGAAAAATATTCACCGGTTTTCAAGATATTAGACTTTTACTTTTGTTTACTTTTTGGGATCTCCGCTGTTCCTAGCGACTTTATTTGAAAGTGCGGCATTTGTTGCGCGCAAAGCAGCATATACCACCGCGTGCTACCAAACGTTTTAGTAAAAGATTTAAAAATCGTTAGATCTCCGCTGACGTCACAAATTCTAAGGGGGCATACCAATGCACTAGCCCCTTAGAATCCGAAAACTGCAAGTTTGAAATTCCATATCTCCGAATTAAAGCATTTGTCGATGTTGTGAGTGCCCAAACCGGTATTTGCAGGCCATGGCCACCAATTTGGCTATCTCAACTCAAAACTAATGTTAAGGTGGGAGTGTCCCTTTAAGGACAACTTAAGAATCAAAAAATAAAAATTCCGGCATTAATGGGTTAGAGAGAGATAGAGAGAGAGAGAGAGAGAGAGAGAGAGAGAGAGAGAGAGAGAGAGAGAGAGAGAGAGAGAGAGAGAGAGAGAGAGAGAGAGAGAGAGAGAGAGAGAGAGAGAGAGAGAGAGAGAGAGAGAGAGAGAGAGAGAGAGAGAGAGAGAGAGAGAGAGAGAGAGAGAGAGAGAGAGAGAGAGAGAGAGAGAGAGAGAGAGAGAGAGAGAGAGAGAGAGAGAGAGAGAGAGAGAGAGAGAGAGAGAGAGAGAGAGAGAGAGAGAGAGAGAGAGAGAGAGAGAGAGAGAGAGGTATCAGAATTTACTTGTAAAAACACCGCTTATCATTCAGTACCTATAATGTCAAGGTTGTGAAAAACCGTTTTAACAACGTGTTGGCGACCACCAGCTGACAACATGAACAGTCCTAGTGTTAAAATATGTCAAATTTAACGATGAAAACTGAAAATGCGCATTGGAAGTCAAAGGAACTGCATTATATGGCCATATATGTCACCATGCATTTTCAAAATATAATGTTACAAGTGTGCGGTTGCTGCAACGTACCAATAAAACGTTGTCACAACGTTTTACCACAACTTTAGGACCAAACCATGGCTTCACAACGTTCAGAACGTTGCTAGAACGTAATTAAAACGTAATTTCGCAACTTACCGAAACACGACGTTGTGACAACGTTGTACTAACGTTTCCTGTTAGCTGGGTTACCATCGACACTAGGCAAGGAAAATCCACTTCTGCGTGGATTTGCCCGAATAAACGGTATTGCTATTGGTAAAGCGAAAACGTTTTAAACTGCAGATAAAGGTACTGTTTTCTGACAAACGACTACAATTTTCACCTTAGAGGAGGCCCCAGAGGCGAACAGGAGGCCCTCTTATGAAGAGGCCCCCTACTTCGGCTTGCCACCCCTGGCAAAAATCCGTGGCGCCGCTCCTGTTAAGGGGTGCGCCCCGATGCCCCCTCCCCCCGTTCCGCCGCCTATGAATAAGGTCAGGAGCGGACAGAGCTGAGAGCACTGGATGGAGCGGAAAAAGAGCCGGTCAGAGCACAAGAAATCGGTTCACTGTGACGCGACGCCTTCTAAGGCCTCTTCGACATTCGAACCGCGAACGTGCCAGTGGTTTTGCATTTCTAGTTACGAGCCCAAGTTCGAGGGCTGAGGCTTTCCGACGGGCAGCAGACCACCCAGCGTCGTAATCTCAGTGCAGGTGAGCCCGCTACTGAGAAGCATTTCAAACTCTACAATGATGGTGACCTTGATGGTGACCGTCTAGAGCGCGGGAGAGGTTTAGACCTTTGGGACTTGACTTGGGTTTTGATTTTACATAAGGATCCAGCGACTATGCGTCATGTGGATCCATGAGTGTCATTGGAAGAAAGTCTTGGTGAGAAAAGTTGAAAGCAAATAGTCAGGGAGGCACCATTTCATGGAGGCAAGGCCAGTGGAGGTGTACCCCCACTTTATTTAGGGCCTCGAGTGGAGGCGGCCTTGGAGGCACCCTTCTCGCTTTATTTCCAGTTTCCCAACGCAATAGTTTGCGAGTATAATTTCATAGCCAAGACCCTGTAAGAATCTTTCCCAGGAACAGCCGGGGCCGGTTCGGGATTGGACGATAACAGGATAGGATCCGCCGGAAACAGCTTGATCCAAATTTACGAACATTCTCAATTCTCAAAACGTATCACCTGCGGCATCTTTGTCGAGATATGCCGCGAAGAAATGGCTGCCAAACCTCACACAGAAGCTGCCAAACTCTTCATAGTAGGAAAAATTCTTCCGACATATTTTTGCCATTTATGGAGTTTTTTTTTTGTTTCGTGACAAATGTTAGCTATTTTTCGTTTTAGATATACCGGATAATATTTGCTACCGTTTCTATAATACAAAATACAATAAACCATATTTTCACAAAATAACACGCTACCCAAATTCCTTCAGTTTGTTTCTTTCCCTTCCCTTCCTTCAAGGCCGGAAACAATCTCAATCTCGATTGCAATTTGCATTATTGCTCCGCTTTCTTTGACCACTGACCTGTATTTGCCGGATTTGTTTTGTGATTAGTTTCCATAAATAATTGATTTAAATGGTCTGTGAGTGAAATTTGGATCTGTATTTGCTGCGCCCTGCATAAATTAAGTGCAACATTCGAAAATGTCGTCTGTCCCTGTGGAATCTGAAAAGATATTTCAATGGATTCAGGACTTGACCAATGCGGAGAAGAGAGAAGAAGCGTTATTGGCATTGAGCAAAAAACGAGAGGTGAGTATGCTGTAGCTTATATGTTACTGACTAGCACACAGGCTAAAAAATAATGGGTGTATGGGTACCTATGGCACACTTTGACAGCGTCCAAGATTAATATTCGGATTCTCTTAGCATAGCGTAGAGGGAAACTTGAAGTTATTGCTAGGTTAAGTGGATTTCAATCAGTGTGGGAATAAACAATTAAGTGAACTCTGAGGGTTTTGAAAGTAAGAAACTTTTGGGGAACTCCACCCGTTTCAGTACCTGTAACCATGACTTCCCTTATGGATTTGCGAAGGGTGCAAGTTTGTTTCTATCCCAGCTATTCAGCAACATTTTTGATGCAATGCAATTGTGTGATGTGACTTAGTTTTTGATTTGGCTTATAAGCTTATAAATGCTACTAAATGCTAAAGATATCATTTTGATTTGGAATGGTTTTCAAACATTCCACAATTATATATCCATAAAAAACCTAATATTTTTTAATATGGCTGGTAATTCTAAACCTGGTTATCATGAACAAGTGGACTGCACATCATGGAGCAATTTTGGCAGTTGGTGTTAATTGTTAACACTCATGAGATCAATTGTGTGGATCAAGCATTTATGAGATGTGGTTTTCCAGTGTGATGCTAAATGTGACAACAGTCCAGAAAAGCTGCCAAATGTTGGCCCTGCCAATATGTTATTTCTGTCCTGTTAACACGTTGCTCATGCTTGGTGTCCTGTCCTGTCCTGCTGAACTACTATTCCACCAGCTGTGCTGTTGACACTTTATCCCTATGGTGCTGCTGACCTAGCAGACCAATTATCTCTGTCTGGCTAGTGGCTGGCCTATACTCCTGGCCTTCTGGTTCATTATACTTGTCCTGGGGGCACATGCTAATCTGATGTGCTAGCCTGCCACCCCTCCTGCTAGCTGACATGTTGCCCCTCTTGCTGACCTGTAACTGCCCATGCAGACATGATACCACTCCTGCTAATATGTCACTCCTGCTGACCTGTCACCCCTCCTACTGACACCTGTCCTGCCAACCTGTCACCACTCACTCCTGACCTGTCACCCTTCCTGCTGACCTGTCACCCTTCTTTCTGGCACCTACAATGCCAACCTGTCACCACTCACCCCTGACCTGTCACCCTTCCTGCTGACCCATCACCCTTCCTGCTGACCTGTCACCCTTCCTGCTGACCTGTCACCCTTCTTTCTGGCACCTCTCCTGCCAACCTGTCACCTTTTACCCCTGACCTGTCAACCCTCCTGCTGACCTGTCACCCCTGCAGACATTCCATCCTTCCTGCTTACTCATCATCCCTGTCCATCCGACCTATTGCCCCCTCCTGCTGACCTATTGTCCCCTCCTGCTGACTTATTGCCCCCTCCTGCTGCCTTATTGCCCCCTCCTGCTGACTTATTGCCCCCTCCTGCTGACCTATTGCCCCCTCCTGCTGACCTATTGCCCCCTCCTGCTGCTTATTGCCCCATCCTGCTGCCTTATTGCCCCCTCCTGCTGACTTATTGCCCCCTCCTGCTGACCTCTCCACCCCCCGCTGACGCCGCAGGTGGTTCCGGACCTGGCGCCGATGCTGTGGCACACCGGTGCAGTGATCGCGGCCCTGCTGCATGAGATCGTCAGCATCTACAGCTACATGAACCCGCCCACCCTGACGGCCATGCAGAGTAACCGGGTGTGCAATGCACTGGCGCTGCTGCAGTGTGTCGCATCGCACCCCGAGACCAGGTCGGCCTTCCTCGCCGTAAGTCGATGAGTTACTGGGAGGAGTTACTGATCGAAATTCGAACCTGACGTGCACGTCTGTATAATAGAATGTGTGAAGGGTGTGTAAACTCTTGTGTGCTGTCGTGATATCTGGACTGTAGGTGCAGAAATCAATTTCGGTGCTTGTAGTCAGTACCCGGTCCTTTGATGAAGGTGTAACTCTGTCGTCTCGGTGTTCTACAGGCACAAATACCGCAGTACCTGTACCCGTTCCTGACCACAAACACCAAGACTCAGCCGTTCGAGTACCTGCGACTCACCAGTCTGGGCGTTATCGGCGCTCTCGTCAAGGTAGGTCGGGGGATCGGTAGGATCGGTGGGTTCGGTCTTCTGAAGAGCTAGCAGCGTCTCTTTTTTCATCGCTTTTTCTTGGTTGGTCTTAGAAGCGCGGTAGAAATATAACGACGAACATACTTTTTACATTGTTGTACGGTAATACCAACTGATTACGTCGTGACAATAGTTTTGTTGCCGAGCTGCTTGCACTTCCTTGCTCGAAATTCACCACGGGAATAGTTCGTTACTTTTGGTAGACACTCACTGTCGCTTATAATCATATTTTGTCTCCTGTCTTTTGCTTAAGTTACTTTTGGTAGACACTCACTGTCGCTTATGATCATATTTTGTCTCCTATCTTTTGCTTACAATATTGTAATTGTCCATTTTCAGACTGACGAGCAGGAGGTGATCAACTTCCTCCTCACCACGGAGATCATTCCGCTCTGTCTGCGTATCATGGAGTACGGCACGGAACTCAGCAAAACCGTGGCCACCTTTATCCTGCAGAAGATTCTTCTCGATGAAATCGGTATGGGAAGCGCAGAAAGCAGGGTTGGGATGTTTATTGTTTAGTACCATCATTGTATTGTAGCGTTAACCTGTATCGTGTTTTACATATAAATGTCATGTGTGTCTTTCGTTGAAGTTTATTGGATGCTGTTCGGTAACGACCGGTTGTTAGAGAGCTTGATTTGATATGAACCTCATGTGATGTTTTCTTTTTTTATATACTCCACCTAATTTGACAAATAGTAGTCGACCTGCCTCATGATTGGTCCCGAACTCCCGATTTTACCACCTTTTTTGGATAGGCCCTTTCGGTCAGGTAAGTCGATTTCAGTGCTGGAAGGGTGGTAGGAATTAGGGGAGACATTGGTCAGGGCAGGCACCCTAGAGAGTCACCGGGGCTGAGCCCGTCCAAATGGACAGGTCGACCGCCCCCCCCCCCCCCCCCATAACACTCTGCACCCGGTTACGGGTGTGCTCCCTCGGGAGCAGCGGTGCCGCTCTAAGGGAGCAGCCTGCATGAGATAAAGTTGCCTGTCTAGCCTGGAGCGAGGGTTGCGGCGTGGAGGAGAAGTATTTCAGCATCCTGAGGATTGAAACGACGGACGGATCTATTTTACTACCACCAATCCTCCCGCCTCCTTTCAGGTCTGGCTCACATCTGCCAGACGTACGACCGCTTCTCCCACGTGGCCATCACCCTGGGAAACATGGTCATCAACCTGGAGAAGGAGAAGTCGGCGCGCCTGCTGAAGCACGTCATACGCTGCTACCTGCGGCTCTCCGACAACTCCAGGTCAGCGCTGCCGGGGAGAAAATCCCCGATCTTTGTCATGGCTTACCTACTCTTTTTGAGCGAATATTTACGGAAAATCGTTGCTGAATGTGTTAGGTACGAAGCATTTCCACTTCCTGAGCAATGATTGCACCAATTATTACACATGAATTGTGTTATTGTTGTGTGCTTATTTGGAAGGCGATAATCTACCTCTGTGCAACGTCAGGGAAATGCTTAAAGGTGCTCTGGTGTGGGATGCGACAAACGGAGTTAGTTTCAGGCTGGAAGAGGTCGGCATTGATAAAAATCTGGATTGTGCTGATGTGTGGGTAACATAGCCGTATCTCTGTGCTGTTTTCTCTCCACTGACCCGTCTTCTCCCGCCTGCCACCAGGGCACGCGTGGCTCTGCGCTCATGTCTGCCGGACCAGCTGAAGGGGGATACCTTTGACGCCTGTCTGGAGGACAAGTCGGTCCGACACTGGCTCAACATGCTGCTCAAAAACCTCGAGGACTCGGGGCCGGGCGGTGAGGTCCCGCGGCCCGGCGGTGCCGCGCTCAAGGCTGCGCCCTAGTAGGTACTGACATGGCCGCCAGGTGGCAGTGCTGCTGAGGTCGGCGGTACAGCCGCTGGCAGTGGATTTGGTGCTGTGAGTGACGCGGGGTCCCGGCGTGTGGCCGCGTGTCGTGCGCCGGGGAATGTACGGACTGGGTCGTCACGGACTGCGGAGGAGTTTTGGGGCGAGCGGATGGGACTTTGTGCCCGGGAAGGGAGGGAGCTAAGGGTGGGGATTAGCCTGTGGCTCCACTGCCAAGACAGCTTTGACGCAATTAGGGAAATTAATTCCCGAGTAAAGTCAGACGAATGAATCCGTCGCTTTCAGCTGCTACTACCTGTCATACTATCTCCTCCGCTAAATGCTCAGGTGTTCTTTTCCCCGTTCTCCTCCGTCAGTTTTTTGGCTCCATACAGTGATTTATTTGTGAGGGTTTAAGTGGCGATTCCATTTGGATGCTATTCCATCCCTCTCCCTCCATGCTGCAGAAGAAAGCATATGTCACCACTGTGCTGGAATTTTCCCGTTGCGTTCCCCGCGCTCGCCGGCTGTTTCCCACTGACTCAGTGCTGCGTTCGGCTTGCGTCTGAAGATGACAGTCCGAGACCTTTGCGTGCCGACTCCGCCCTGGTTCGCTGCGAGTCCGGATCTGTTCCTAGCAGCCTCCGCTTGTAGCGGTGTTGACCAAAAGTCATACGGTGTTGGAAGAGTTTGGACTGTTCTGCCATACTGCAGGAGTCAGGAGTCAGGACGCGCGCACAGGGACTGGTTTGTATATAGCTTTTTGCCCAGATGTGTACATAACCTTTACAGTGATGTGGTCCGGACGTGTACATAATGTATACAGCGATGTGTGTATTTTTGGCGTAGTGGAGTATTCGGTGTAGTCGTTTTCATATGGAAATCGTTCAGTTCGGTACTACTCATTGTGAATGTGGACGCAAAGGATGGGTACTGGCTAGGCCGACTGTCCCAATGGAATGTGTTCGCTCAGCTCACCAATGGGACACTAGAACTGCATTCAGTGATAATATACCAGCTGCCCGAGTCAGAATTGCAGCACTTGTTACAGTCTGTGCTAGGGATTCCATTTGATTGTTGGTTGCCAATTGTGTTTTCTTTGCTTATTCAGTTATCTAACAGCAATGTCTCGACCAGGTCGCACCAACTGATGTTACCCATTCTTGTGATTGAGCGCGCGCACGACTGAATTCCAATGCAGGAGAGGCCCGGGTGCCTATTGATCTGTGTTATTTGTCGCGATGATCAGAACGTTCGTGCGTCTGTTCTAGCCAAACTGTGCGTCATGCGATGTGGAAGATGCTTGCAGCGCTCTGTGGCATTGGTCAGGGAGATACTGTGTCGCGCACATTACTGTAAACGCGTGTATTGGGATTGACAAGGACTGGTCGCATGCTTGTTCGGCCGTTGCGTGTGGTTCAACGAGAGGTCGGTGTGGAAAATGCGGGGCGTGTCGCACATTCATGACGTATTTGTTGCTCGTGGTTAACGGCCCTGGTGCAGCGAAGTGTTCTCTGTCGGCTCGACATACCAGTATGTCTCAAATATCGAAGGCTCTCTGGAACCATGGGAGAATCTTGTTTCGTGTGTGAAGTGTTTGCCGCCTGGTTTCGTCAATAAGTCACCATTGCTGCATGAGCACCGTGTGATGGTTGGTTTGACGGTGTGGAACGGAACGTCATCGCTATCAATGCCGTGAGCGTCAGTTAATCGTTATTTCATCGGGACCACCACTGGTGGGTCGGGATGCCCGTCGATGGATCAAAGTCATAGCTGGGGCATTGAGCTGAGATTCACTCCAGGGGGACCAAAGTCCGTGTCTGCTGTTGGACAATAGCGGTCCCTGCATGCAAAGCATATAAAGATTGTCCTGCACCTACGGGCACGGCCAAGACTCGGCTGGATTCAGTTGGTGGCTAAAGCCGCGCCGGCGCTCATTCCTACTACCACTCGCTGGGCTGAAGCTGCGCGGTGGCCAAAAGTAACCCGAAACCAACCGAAACCACAATGACTCTTCTACTCAGGAGTGAAGTTGGCCGCGGAGCGCGTGTTCGGCAGTTAGCTAGATGGTGTGATGAGTGGACAAGGATACCAACCGGACGGGCACCGATGAAACGGCATCGGACAGATCAAACAATACCACTTTCTCTGCGATCAGCCGGTAGCTACTGGCTGCAATAAAGATTTTTGGTCACCGAGATTGAAACTGTTAGCGATCGGTTGTTACTGAGGGTAGGGGAAAAGGTAAAGCTGAGGCGAAGGGCTGGCGCTGCCAAATTTTGAGGTGTCAAGGTATGGCAGCAATATTTCGGGCAGATGATGCGCTTTTACGACAAATATAGAAATTCGCTCGGATCAAAATATTGTTTTGTATATGTAACGGAAGTTAGCAGGGATTCAGCAGGGGTTCAGCAGGGATTCAGCAGGGATCGACGGCCCCTACGATTTCGCTGCATTTTGGTGGAGAGGTGCAGAATGGTGTCCTCTATCGAAAATCCTAGTGCCAAAATGCGGGGAATCCATCAGGGGGGCCACAAATCCCAAAAAACAGTATGCCCTCAGGGCACAATCGACGAACTTTGAAAACCCTACTTCTAGCCGTCAAAACAGCTAAAAATGCACGTCATTCGAAAGAGGACAAAATTTTACGTGCAACGGTACCAAATTTAGGGGGCTAGCGCCCCCCTGAACCGAACAAAACAGCTTCAAATATATGGGCCCGGGAGTATGCCCTCGGGGCATAAATAAACGTTTTCAACAATTTCAGGCCTATAACATCGACAAAATCCAGCAATATGCACATCATTGGAAAAAGCGTAATTTCCCAAACAAAAAACCCAAGTCACATTTTTCGATGGGGCCCACCTGGGGCCAACGGGACCCAATTGAAATTTGGGGCCCAATGGGGCGGCCCCTACGATTTTCTTCAAAATTTGCACAGACACTCTCTTGGGCCCCCTCTTCAATCTGGCTGAAGAAACCTACCGGGGAATCCAAAGGAAGGGGCCCAAAGAGGGCCCCAAAGAGGCCCTTTCTAAGTATTGCCCCTAATTTCGCGACCAACCCCGGCAATATGCACATCATTGGAAAGAGCGTAATTTCCCAAACAAAAAACCCAAGTAACATTTTTCGGTGGGGCCCACCTGGGGCCCACGGGACCCAATTGAAATTTGGGGCCCAATGGGGCGGCCCCTACGATTTTCTTCAAAATTTGCACAGACACTCTCCTGGGCCCCCTCTTCAATCTGGCTGAAGAAACCTACCGGGGAATCCAAAGGAAGGGGCCCAAAGAGGGCCCCAAAGAGGCCCTTTCTAAGTATTGCCCCTAATTTCGCGACCAACCCCGGCAATATGCACATCATTGGAAAGAGCGTAATTTCCCAAACAAAAAACCCAAGTAACATTTTTCGATGGGGCCCACCTGGGGCCCACGGGACCCAATTGAAATTTGGGGCCCAATGGGGCGGCCCCTACGATTTTCTTCAAAATTTGCACAGACACTCTCCTGGGCCCCCTCTTCAATCTGGCTGAAGAAACCTACCGGGGAATCCAAAGGAAGGGGCCCAAAGAGGGCCCCAAAGAGGCCCTTTCTAAGTATTGCCCCTAATTTCGCGACCAACCCCGGCAATATGCACATCATTGGAAAGAGCGTAATTTCCCAAACAAAAAACCCAAGTAATATTTTTCGATGGGGCCCACCTGGGGCCCACGGGACCCAATTGAAATTTGGGGCCCAATGGGGCGGCCCCTACGATTTTCTTCAAAATTTGCACAGACACTCTCCTGGGCCCCCTCTTCAATCTGGCTGAAGAAACCTACCGGGGAATCCAAAGGAAGGGGCCCAAAGAGGGCCCCAAAGAGGCCCTTTCTAAGTATTGCCCCTAATTTCGCGACCAACCCCGGCAATATGCACATCATTGGAAAGAGCGTAATTTCCCAAACAAAAAACCCAAGTAACATTTTTCGATGGGGCCCACCTGGGGCCCACGGGACCCAATTGAAATTTGGGGCCCAATGGGGCGGCCCCTACGATTTTCTTCAAAATTTGCACAGACACTCTCCTGGGCCCCCTCTTCAATCTGGCTGAAGAAACCTACCGGGGAATCCAAAGGAAGGGGCCCAAAGAGGGCCCCAAAGAGGCCCTTTCTAAGTATTGCCCCTAATTTCGCGACCAACCCCGGCAATATGCACAACATTGGAAAGAGCGTAATTTCCCAAACAAAAAACCCAAGTAACATTTTTCGGTGGGGCCCACCTGGGGCCCACGGGACCCAATTGAAATTTGGGGCCCAATGGGGCGGCCCCTACGATTTTCTTCAAAATTTGCACAGACACTCTCCTGGGCCCCCTCTTCAATCTGGCTGAAGAAACCTACCGGGGAATCCAAAGGAAGGGGCCCAAAGAGGGCCCCAAAGAGGCCCTTTCTAAGTATTGCCCCTAATTTCGCGACCAACCCCGGCAATATGCACATCATTGGAAAGAGCGTAATTTCCCAAACAAAAAACCCAAGTAACATTTTTCGATGGGGCCCACCTGGGGCCCACGGGACCCAATTGAAATTTGGGGCCCAATGGGGCGGCCCCTACGATTTTCTTCAAAATTTGCACAGACACTCTCCTGGGCCCCCTCTTCAATCTGGCTGAAGAAACCTACCGGGGAATCCAAAGGAAGGGGCCCAAAGAGGGCCCCAAAGAGGCCCTTTCTAAGTATTGCCCCTAATTTCGCGACCAACCCCGGCAATATGCACATCATTGGAAAGAGCGTAATTTCCCAAACAAAAAACACAAGTAACATTTTTCGATGGGGCCCACCTGGGGCCCACGGGACCCAATTGAAATTTGGGGCCCAATGGGGCGGCCCCTACGATTTTCTTCAAAATTTGCACAGACACTCTCCTGGGCCCCCTCTTCAATCTGGCTGAAGAAACCTACCGGGGAATCCAAAGGAAGGGGCCCAAAGAGGGCCCCAAAGAGGCCCTTTATAAGTATTGCCCCTAATTTCGCGACCAACCCCGGCAATATGCACATCATTGGAAAGAGCGTAATTTCCCAAACAAATCACCCAAGTAACATTTTTCGATGGGGCCCACCTGGGGCCCACGGGACCCAATTGAAATTTGGGGCCCAATGGGGCGGCCACTACGATTTTCTTCAAAATTTGCACAGACCCTCTCCTGGGCCCCCTCTTCAATCTGGCTGAAGAAACCTACCGGGTAATCCAAAGGAAGGGGCCCAAAGAGGGCCCCAAAGAGGCCCTTTCTAAGTATTGCCCCTAATTTCGCGACCAACCCCGGCAATATGCACATCATTGGAAAGAGCGTAATTTCCCAAACAAAAAACCCAAGTAACATTTTTCGGTGGGGCCCACCTGGGGCCCACGGGACCCAATTGAAATTTGGGGCCCAATGGGGCGGCCCCTACGATTTTCTTCAAAATTTGCACAGACACTCTCCTGGGCCCCCTCTTCAATCTGGCTGAAGAAACCTACCGGGGAACCCAAAGGAAGGGGCCCAAAGAGGGCCCCAAAGAGGCCCTTTTTAAGTATTGCCCCTAATTTCGCGACCAACCCCGGCAATATGCACATCATTGGAAAGAGCGTAATTTCCCAAACAAAAAAAAAACCCAAGTAACATTTTTCGATGGGGCCCACCTGGGGCCCACGGGACCCAATTGAAATTTGGGGCCCAGTGGGGCGGCCCCTACGATTTTCTTCAAAATTTGCACAGACACTCTCCTGGGCCCCCTCTTCAATCTGGCTGAAGAAACCTACCGGGGAATCCAAAGGAAGGGGCCCAAAGAGGGCCCCAAAGAGGCCCTTTCTAAGTATTGCCCCTAATTTCGCGACCAACCCCGGCAATATGCACATCATTGGAAAGAGCGTAATTTCCCAAACAAAAAACCCAAGTAACATTTTTCGGTGGGGCCCACCTGGGGCCCACGGGACCCAATTGAAATTTGGGGCCCAATGGGGCGGCCCCTACGATTTTCTTCAAAATTTGCACAGACACTCTCCTGGGCCCCCTCTTCAATCTGGCTGAAGAAACCTACCGGGGAATCCAAAGGAAGGGGCCCAAAGAGAGCCCCAAAGAGGCCCTTTCTAAGTATTGCCCCTAATTTCGCGACCAACCCCGGCAATATGCACATCATTGGAAAGAGCGTAATTTCCCAAACAAAAAACCCAAGTAACATTTTTCGATGGGGCCCACCTGGGGCCCACGGGACCCAATTGAAATTTGGGGCCCAATGGGGCGGCCCCTACGATTTTCTTCAAAATTTGCACAGACACTCTCCTGGGCCCCCTCTTCAATCTGGCTGAAGAAACCTACCGGGGAATCCAAAGGAAGGGGCCCAAAGAGGGCCCCAAAGAGGCCCTTTCTAAGTATTGCCCCTAATTTCGCGACCAACCCCGGCAATATGCACATCATTGGAAAGAGCGTAATTTCCCAAACAAAAAACCCAAGTAACATTTTTCGATGGGGCCCACCTGGGGCCCACGGGACCCAATTGAAATTTGGGGCCCAATGGGGCGGCCCCTACGATTTTCTTCAAAATTTGCACAGACACTCTCCTGGGCCCCCTCTTCAATCTGGCTGAAGAAACCTACCGGGGAATCCAAAGGAAGGGGCCCAAAGAGGGCCC